GAAAGGGAGCTTGTATTTAGGATGCAAAAACGATGTGTAAGGTCAATGTGTGGTCTCAAAATAACAGATAGCTGTTTTCCTTATTTTAAATACTTAAAAATCCTAACACTGCCGTCATTGTATATACTGGAAACAGCTATTTTTGTAAAAAAAGCATCCATTTCTTTTCCAAAAAATATCTGATATTAGAAAGAATCCAATACGCACCCACTACAAAAATAGGTTATGTAACATAAAATGTAAAACATCATTAATGAAAAAAAGCTTTTTTGGTATTGCCCCACAAATTTATAATAAACTACCTGATTCAATAAAAAATATGACCTTATTTAAATTTAAAAAGGTGCTGAATGACTTATTAATAGACAAATGTTACTATAAAATTGACGAGTTCTTGAATGAAAATTTTGACTAGTTACTTTTTATTGATTATGACGTTCGTCGTTTTGTTATTGTAATCAATTTAATTTTATAAATGTAGAATTTTCATTAGTATTCCAATTTCAATTATTTCTTTTCTATTTTATTTTATGACATGATTTTTCAAAATAACTCAATTATATTTGTATGTCTTTAAGACAAAACATATATTGTATTTGCACACCTCATAAGGTAATAATACAGTGTACATATTATAACTTTTCTGTAACACCTTTTATACCTGTGTTATGCAAATAAATGAATTTGAATTTGAATTTGAATTTGAATTAATTTTACGTGGTAGAGCCACGCTGCAGCTATATTATGGTTGTAAAACGAATGGGTCGGCTAGACCGTGAAAGGACCACGCTCTCACAGAAACCAGCGTAAAATAGCAGCTTAATGTTGCCTTGTTTCGTTTCGGACGGGAGAAGCGGAGACCCTTTTTACTGGAATAGAGGCATTCCATTTTAGTCCTCGGGGGTGATAACGCATATCGAAATTGATTCTAAATTGAGGATAAATGTTGATGTCTATGGGCCACAGCATCCAATTACCATCAGGTGGACTGTGCGCTCGTTTGTCAACCTATTCTTCTTTACTTCTGTCTTACTGGCATTTACATACAGACACTGCATTTTTATTTATATGTATAGAGTATAGATAACCATAACATGGTAAAAACTAGTTTGTGTTACGCATAACAAAATTAATTATGTAGCTATGACAGGAAAAATATAATGGCGCCAGAGCGATTTAACCTTGGACCTATATTATTGCGCAGTTTCTGAACCGTTTTTGTCGTGTTATATAGCAGGCACATTTCGTTCCTTTGATATTACAAAAATTGGCCAATATGGGTCCCGGGTAGCGTTGCCATGCGCCCTGATAAACCCGGACACCTGTCAGGCTTTTTGGTTGCGTGTCCGGCCAGATTAGACGGTGTCCAGCCAGTCCGGCTTTTTTTAAGCTTATTAAATTTCACCAATTTTCACATTTTTCACGTACTTACATACATAATACGGCAATTACTGAAATTAATATTGTAATATATATTGAATGATTGATTGATTGATAAAGAAGACGGATTTATTCAATTTTATTGTTATTTCATTAGAATTTGAGAAGATTTTATAGTAAATAATAAAACGCATTGTTTTACTTTGGAAAAAATGTCATGTTATATTAAGACTAAAAAATTGAGGGTGTCCGGCCTATTTACCCAAATGTCCGGCTAAGCTCGCTGGTCCATCCGGCTTTTCGGTTTTAAGACCAGTCAGTTGTCAACCCTTATTCCGGGTCGGTTTAGAGAAATGACAAATGAAGAACGAATTATTTTCTCTGTCATATCTTTGTCTTCATCATCCACCCGCAAATGTCTAACACTGAAGTCTAACATTGGTCACTCTTTTTGGAGGGAAAATTTTCACCACGCTTGTCAAACAATTACTAAATGCACCTTCGATGCTCTCCTTATTTGATCCGCACATAGTAGAGGAAGGTATATTTTTTACCTTTTCCATAGTCTCCATTTATAACACTCACACAACGAAATAGGGCGATAAATGACTTTTAACGACTTCATCCGCATAGAACTTAAACAGTAAAACTTGCAAATATATAATAGTTATTTTATTTAAAAGACTAGCGAGTAAATCCGCGAATTCGTCCGCGTAAAATTTAAGCAGTAAAACTTGCCGATATAAAATCCTATACCTTTAAACGAGCAATTCATATATATATAATCGGAACCGCCTACAACGATTTTCATAAAATTTAGTGTCCAGGGAGTTTCGGAGGCAATAAATCGATCTAGCTAGGATTTATTTTTAGAAAATGTCTTTTTGTCTGTGTTTTCAGGCAATGAAAAACTGCTACAATATAAGAAGGTAAATTTTGACACAGTGTTAATGATCGTAATAGCTCAAGTGGATATCGAGCGGTCGCGAAACCGTAATACCTTAGCTCGCGACCTGTCTTCGGTTCAACTATTTTTTTTCCTTTTTTTTCAAGTTCCCTTCTTTTGTGAGAAAATCTATTATTTAGAGTCCTTTTTTTAAATATTTATTTAAAAATACGAAACTTTTAATGAAACTAATTGCACTCGTGAGTTTTTATTCAAATAACCAGTTCAATATTTTATTATTATGTCAACAAGATCAAAAAATATTATTCAGTATGTAATTTGTATCTAAATGTAATTTTTAAAAAAAATAGAGCAAAGCTCGGTCATCCGGGTACTATTTATTTAATTTAAAAGACTAGCGAATAAATCCGCGTATTCGTCCGCGTAGAACTTAAGCCGTAAAACTTGGAGATATATAATAGTTACTTTATTTAAAAGACTAGCGCGTAAATCCGCGACTTCAACCGCGTAGAACTTAAGCAGTAAAAATTGCAGATATATAATAGTTATTTTGTAAATCCGCAATTTCATCCGCGCAGAACTAAAGCTGCAGATTGACAGTAATCTTTGGGCAAGTAGTTGAACTAACCGAAAACCACTTTAAACTCAGTTTTTGTAATTATCTAAAAAACTATGTGCGATATGGGAAAATACTTTAAATAAAAAATTTGGATTCAGGAATTTCACGCACGAAAATTTCTCCGTAAATAACTCCCTATAACTAGGTTAAATAAACTTTATAATCGGTTTAGTAGCCGGACTGATATAAATTTTGTTTCGCTCACATGTTCCGCAAGTACTTGTTAGATACAATTTCAAATTGAGTTAAAATATACTGGATGACCTTTTTTAAAGTCTGGAGAAAAAATAGGATGTAACATGTGCGGAGTAAGAAGCCTATGGCCCTGATATTTTACAAAAAAAAATAAATACAAAAATTTTGAATTAAACGTTTGAAAAAAAATGTTGAGCAATTACTTTGCCCTTTGCCGTTGAGTCTGTGACCCTGCGAAGTGACAAAGTCTAAGATACCTTTTTATTGCCGTCCGTAAAGTAGGGTGGATATGATTTGAATTTCGATAGATTTTAATTTATTTATTTATTTAATTCAAAATTATTGTTTTTTATAATTTATAAAACATCAGTGCCACATGCTTCTACTCCGTTCACCTACCTATTTTTTCCAGACTGTAAAAAAAGATCATTCAGTATATACATAATATACTTATAACACTTATCTAATTCACTACATACCTAGTTGTTTGGCATTAAAATATTTAAATTATTTTTTCTTGACATAATATGTAAATTATTATTTTAATTATGGCTTAGCGGTGTTAACCTGTGAGAAATTGTGCAATTAGTATAAGACTATATTAAAATTTTAGATTTAGTTTGTTAAATTGTAACAATTATAAGTGGATCTTTTAAAATAAATAAATAAAATAAAAAAATAAAAATCTTATCACCTTATCCTTCGACACTCTTAGTTTTGTTGTTAAATGATATTGAAGTGAAAAAAAGTTAAAAGTTTGTTCGATTTTATTATATTCATGAATCTCATGACTTTATGAGATAATTATCAACAACGATTTACATTAGCGAGTGTAGAGAAACGCAAACCATTTTTATCCGACTTCCAAAAGGAGGAGGTTCTCAATTCAAGTGTATTTTTTTAGATTTGCAGATTGTAAATCAATTTTGATTATTCTTTTTTATTAAATTGGTAAAACTTTTAGGGTGGTCCGTTATAAATTTGGATGAATAATTCTACCCCTAAGAGTAGCAAATAAATAACTTCTTTTTTAGCAATTTGAAATCGGTTTTTACTTATTGTTAAAGGTTATAAAGGTATTACTGGTATACTGCACGCAGACAAATCTGACCTCAAATCTGACTGGTGTGTACCTACTCTTACCGCTACCTCCCTGAGTCAGATAAGGCTGTAAGAGTGGCGTAGACTAACAGCGATAACATCCAGAAAAGATACCAGAAAAATAGATTACTACCGTTAAAGGCCGTTTTATACTTCTACAAGTACGGTAGCGAGTTAATTTGCGAACCTGCCGAGTTAAGTATAAAATCTCGTTTGAAAGGCAATCAGTGACTTAAGTAGCAAATTAACAATTAAGTTGAACGGAATAGCCGGCCGGTCCATTTTTCGGCGAGCTAAGTTCGAAGTGTGGCCCTCCCGCGGTTCTCCCGTCACCCGCAACTAAACTCGCCGCTCGTGTGAACGAGCTAATTTAGTTCAGTGCATAAGTTGACAGGACGCAACGTCGATCGATCGGCGAACGACCCCTAAAATATAAAATGGTACTATTCGTAACTAAACTCGCCACGAAGACATTTGAACGCTACTGTCCACTTAACCGTTTACTGTCAACTGCCCTGTTAGTAAGTTTAGTTAAACTCGCTACTGTACTTGTCAAAGTGTAAATCAGTTATAAGTCGCAGTACGGTACACCCACTATGTTCTGGTTTGAAGGCCAAAAGAGCATATGGGGCTCTTTTGGCCTAACAGAATTTAAGGCATTGTCATCACATGTGACAAATCATCTGTGGTATTTGTCATTCATTTGGTTGCTAGTACCTATGGACCAGTAGCCAATCATAAACCATAAATATTTTTGGTTTTTTTTAGCTAAAATGTAAGGAAGGTTGATTCACTTACCTCTTTAGCCCACAATCTGCACAGCATACACCCCCAGCGGCGGAAGAAAATGATGACAACATCCTGATCTTGCCAAAAACTTGCCAATTCCGTAACCTGAAGACAGAAAAGAAGCGTTTCGTATTCAACACGTTAATGTGGTCAGGTTCGAATCCCGGTTCGGGCCAAAATTAATGTTATTGGGGTTTTCTGCCAAGAAATTCTCAGTAGAGCACGGTGTCAGGAAGCTGGCGGTGTTTTACTACTATGTCATTGAACGCACGTAAAGCCGTTTGTTCTGAGCCTGATTTTTCTCCGTACGTGTCGTATTGCCGTCCCATCTGAAGACGAGAATGAGAGAACAGAGATTGATAAAGAGAATTGAGATGTGATTGCACACACACTTGATCACTATAATTCACTCATATGCACATGGCTGGGCACCATTGAAACAGGCCGCTGAGACCGAAATCCGGTCTGGAGGACATTATTATTGTTATAAATAGTAGATAGCTAGCAGGCAATTCGGAATATATATATATAGAAGTACATGTAAGGTCTGCCTTCTCCACTCTCTCGAAATATCGATATTTTCTTTTTATCGACACATATCGTCGATATTTTTAAATCGCGATGTATCGATATTCGATTGTTATTTTCGAGTATTGAATTTGTATCAATTTCGATATATATTTTTTGTTTGTTTTTAAATGTAGTATTAATCGACAAAACATTAAGCTAAGAAAAAAGCTACAAAAGTATTCATGTGCTGTTGTAGTTTTTATATCGATATATTTTTTTTACTTTTTTTACTTTGTAACTTGTTAAACGTGTTTATGTACTATTTAAACCCCACTAATGGCAGGTTCTAGGTTCTAGCCTCATGTTTTGATAAACCGAAGGCCTATTCACTAACTTTGTAGACCAAAAAATGAGTCACTTTGTAGGACATTGCATAATCTGTATAGCAATTTTATAAGAGCTACCATGTCTGAATAAACACGACGCAATAGAATACAAAGTAACTATCGTTTTGATGCCAACTAATTTAGCAAATAGGCCTACTGGTTTCGTAACCATGATTTATTCACAAGCAAGCTTGCAATAAAGACGTAAATCATGTAGCAAAATTACAAAATGTGTTGCTAAATAGTGGACGAATAAGTGGTGTTCTATCAAAAATGTAAAAATAGATCATATACTACAATACACCGTGGTAGCTCAGATGGTTAACGCTCGCTGTAAATATAACAGATCGCAAGTAACCCAGGTTCGATCCCCGCCGGCACCAATGAAATTGTTAATTGCAATTTTAAGTGCTTATTTACCACGTGCATGGCGGTGAAGGTAAACATCGTGAGGAAACCTGCATGTCTGAGGAATAAGCAAAAAATATATTTCGAAGACATGTGAAGTTCGCCAACACGCATTGGGGCAGCGCGGCGGACACTTCCTTGCCCTAAAACCCTCTCACCAATGAGGGGAGGCCTGTGCCTAGCAGTAGGACGTGGATTAACTTTACTTTACTTTTACTACAGTACACACACTAATTTTCTTTATGCATAGCCTGTTAGTGAATTAGTATTTAACTTAAAGCCTTAACTTTTAGCCTTAATAAAAATGCCTTAATTTATCTTGTTTAATAAAAAGCCAGACTGCTGTACTGTACAAACTGACTGTATAAACCATTGAGCTCGGTCAAATATAAACAAAACTCAAAAATCGAAATACAGATAATTCCACTTAATTTGTTACTATCAATATTAAAATATACAAAAACACATAATATTTAAATCTGTCCGAGATTCTTTATACATATACATATTTAACCCATTAAATTAATTCTTTTATCTAAATTTAAAATCATAACATGTTATAGTTACTCTTATGTCATTCATAAAAATATCTCTAGGAAATTACGATTGTGATTTTTATAGGATAAAGGTGACAACGAACACACAGTCCACCTGATGGTAAATGGTTGCTGTGGCCCATAGACATCTACATCATCCTCGATTACCATAGAATACTATAATACACATAGAATACAATACAAATACAATAGAATGGCTGTCAACCTTATTTTGTACTAAATTTGTAGGCGTCGCCGGGAGCACACATACAAGCAATTACGTCGTACAGTTAATCACTGCTACAAACCCGAACCCGTATTATTAAAAATAAATTTTTCAATACGCTTAAATCAAAATGCATATGAGTATTAGTGATCTAACAATATTTTATTTGTCACCCTATAAAAAAATATTGCTTTATGAGAGGAGGCCTTCTCAATCGTGACTGTCCCATGTCATAGTTAGTAGCTCCACGGCAAGATTAACACTAATTTTATTAATATTTTAATATCCCTACAAAAATTAACACACAGTCCACCTATTTGTAAATAGGGTGCAATTGGGCATTTTCTAAATAATTTGCATGCGAAATTTGGAAACTAATGTAACGTCAAAACACATCTCGTGTTGACATTTATACTTGTGAATTGACGTGTTAGTGGCATTTTAGTGGCTACACGGCCTCCGCCCACTCCCCCGTTCTATTGTATGTATTATAGTATTCTATGTCGATTACCAATCAAAATGCAGATGCGTAGACACCCGTGAGAACGAAAATGGCATGCTTCGTTTCCAGTTAAACGGTTCTTCGGTTCTCTACACTCACCATACGAAACACAACAACGTTAAGCTGCTATTTTACGTTGGTATTCTGTCAGAGCGTGGTCCTTCCTAATATAGCTGCAGCATGGCTCTAACACATAAAAAATTGAAGTAACATTTATATAAATACAGAAGATTTCACTTATAACGACGATGAAGGGACGGAAGTCTCTGTTTCCACAGGTAGGAGTGGGGGGGACAGAAAGCTTAACATTAAGAGGATACTTTGAAAATGAATCGTAGTTTTGGTGGCGTGGCTTATTCCTTTGTCGGGAAGCTAACGGATGACTGAGGGAGTGTCAAAATGAAAGTGATGCATCTTCATAATACGCAAATTATGAGATAGCTATAGCGAGCAAGCGCTCGGAAAAAAACTAAGTAAGCGCCAAACAATATTTTTTATTTAATTTTAACAAAACTTCGTTATGGTTTAGAAATATGGTTTATGAGAACTTAGATATGATTATTTACTATACCTTGAAAATAATTCTATGAACTTATTCATAAGAATATTGTGGTGTCATGGAGAAATATAAATAATTAGAGCCTACTTTGCAATTTTTTTTCTATCGAGAAAACTACATGATATCGTGTTTTCCTTTTATGCAATCCAAGGTCATATTGTCAAAAATCATATAAGGTCACCTGGGGCAAGTGTGACATAAATTAATTAAAACTATAATCGACATTTAAATACTTACTTCTACCGTGCAAGAATTTAATATAGAGAATTCAGTTTCACAACATCAATTAATAAGTGCTTGTATGTTTGATCAAGCATTTTAGTATCTACAAGTAGCATTTTGTAATTTGAGGTAATTAAAACTAATTGAGGTGGAAGACTGTCACACTAACCCACCAATGAGGCAAGTGTGACAGTATGCTTCTTTTTGTTGTGACTTTATTATTATCTGTGGTTTCCAAAAAAAATTATGAGATTATAATATAACGTCTATATATTTTATGATCTATGGAAACGATTTGAACGTCCATTTTTGTGTAACAATGAATTTCCCGCAACATGGGGCAAGTGTAACTGATTTTAACCGATATAGTTGTGTGCCTTTAAACAGATTTACTACACTAGCTCCGGATGTTTTATAAGTATAATAAAAGCAATGCCAAGTGCAAAACAAAATTTAATTCAGAACATTAACAATTTATAATAATATAATCATAATAAATGTGACACTGTCACACTTACCCCATGTTAGGTATTAGGTGAGGTACGTGTAACTGTATCCGTATTTCAAAGAATAGAGAATTTCAGGTCGCAGAAACATATTACTCTAAAAGTACCAATATTATTCTTTATCACTCACCTTGTATCTAGTTTAAAATAACTTAACGACATATCGAAACACTTAATAACTTCACCTCTTAAAATTGTGCCGTCTGTCGCCAGTTGAGTAGTTTTTAAAAATAACGTCTGTTGATAAAATAGTTCAAGCTATGTACTTAACTTTCAGTTTGGTCAATAGCGTAAAATTTCCTGTGTTGTCTGATAGGTGGAATTACCCCAAAAACCGTGTTTAGGCCGCATAATTTGCATTTGTTACACTTGCCCCACTGTCACACTTGCCTCGGGTGACCCTACCAAAATTTTAATTTGTAATCTATAGAACTTAAAAAAATATGTTAAATAGAAAAACCACCAAATTTTCGAGGTATCACCTTAAGAAAGCAGCTAGCAGCTTCTTAAGGTTTACTAATTTTTTTTTTCAATATTACTTTTTTTTCGAAGCATTGCACAATTTCAGAGCGGTTTTTCCACATCGGTGACACTGTAGAATGCGAAATAAATAATTATTTGCACAAGTTAATGTTACTTTCACCATATCAGGTTTTTTATACTATAAGTATAGTGTTTTATTGACCGTGAAGCAAATCAGATGGCCAGCAACGTCTTCCTAATAACGACTAAAAATAAAAAACTGCCATTGCCAACCCGCTTGCAATTTACCCCCTATGAGGCAATCTATGGGGGAGGCCTATGTTCAGCAACGGACTTTAATAGGTTGTAACGATTCTACTAATGGGTGCCATGATGAACACATGGTCTAACATCCCGAAAAATTACTGAGTAACTAATTATCTCAGCTGCCGACCATCTCGAATTACGAACAAGAGATAAGAAAGTCTAATGACTCTATAAATGAATCTTTGTGTATTTGTTTTTTGACTCATTCATTGAATATCAGTTTATATTCGTAATACCTGCAAGAGATTTCAGCGAATTTGCTTATGAATGACTCATACCTGAAATTATTGTAATATCTGAAGTCATTATAACCTAACCATTCTCCATTAAAGGTATACGTTGAATTCAATGGACTACATATAAGACATTTTTTTTTTATTACCGAAAAGTCGTTAAAACCGGAGTTGTTATTAATGAAATTGACTGCATATAAATGTTACAATTTAAATAGTATATACAAA